CTCGGGCCCAGGATGGAGGAAGTTGGTGCCAACGATATGTTCCCCGAGAAACAGGTGGTAACTGGGAAGATAAGCAGCAGTGTAGTAACCTTTAGCTTTTCTCACCTTCGGTATCACGACACGCATGAGGTCACGCGATCGCAAACATCGACCCGCCTCTGGGAAATTCTATTGCAGGTGCCGCAAACTGCGTGCAGCACATGCGGTAATGTCGTGACTAGCTCGCGTCGAAGTGAACTTTCCCGAAGGCCCACAGGCGTTGGTCTCGACGCCTTGGAACAGCCAATCACAGTTACCGCAAAGCTGCCTTCTGGCCCGGCGAAGAATAGCAAGCCTGCACGGGTGAACGCTCTCTCGCTGGGTCGCTGAGATTTCTGCCACTAAGCCGCATTTCAGACCACAGAGCTCCAGCGGAAGGACGTGCTCTCCGAAGTCAAACTTCTTCCTTCTTATTCTCCGTTCCTCTGTATACAGAATAAGCCATTCCTACTATTCTGGCCTCCACCGACTTCTTCTCGCCTAAGGAACCATGTTCTGAAGATCACAGTTGCTAGGGTTTAAGTTAATTAACTCCCTGCGATCGTACTTTGAATCCCCCATCTGACCAATCACCTCCAGGGCCGACCCACAGACGACCTCACTGTTGTGACTGCCTACGCTCACATACTTCGGACGCGGCTCTCTGGGCACTGGCTGCACGCCCGTCCGACAGTAAAAATCTTTCTTCACTCCCTCTGTACAGAATAAAATATTACTTCCACTTGGCATCTCACCTCTTCTTCTTCTTTTCCCTAAGGAACCGGGCCTGAAAATCGCAGAAGCAAGGGGTTTTCTTATTAACCTAATCCGCTGCGATAGCGCTTCCAGCAGTATTCGTCTCTATTTTCGGGTGGGACTGATGCCCTGAGGTCATGAGAGATGACGTGAAAGATTATGGCTGCAGACCTCGTCGCGCTGCTGCGCCGATGTGTTGATGGTAGCAGCGCATAACAATCGGTGCGGAAAACTGGGTTGTCGGAGCTTTGCGACATCAAGGCGTCTCGCACGTGGCATTTTGGGTGCAGTTGAGAGGTGAACCTTCAGGCGCATGCGAAAGAAAATGTGGTCAGACGCGTGAGTGTTAACAGTTTCGGCACCTCGCATTGATCTGCTATCGTGGATGCAACTGAGAAACTGTGAACCAACTATAATGTAATCAATCTGACTGGCGATACGGCCATCGTTTAAATACCAGGTCGGTAGATGTTTGTGACGATGCCTAAAGCATGTGCTGGAAATAAACAGTCGGTTCTGTTCAGCAAATTGCGCATCCTCTCACCATTATCGGACCGAGAGCGTAGCCCAGAATAACCAATAAGGTGGCTGTTTGAAGGGTCATTGGGCCCTGTCCGGCCATTCCAATACCCGGTGGCTATTAACAAATAACGGCTGCTCGTAGGAATTTTCTTTATCTTGCTGTTCGGCCACTGATGTTGGTGCATACACAGAGACGACAGAGATGTTCATTAAAAGACCCTTTATTCGAACGTAAGCCATCCGGTTGTTGGCTGGTTCCCATGCCAGTAGTACATGGTTCGCTGGTTCTGAGAAGACAATAGCCGCACCGTGTCTATGAGATGAGTCACGTGGGCCACTGTCGCACAGGGTGAGGGGAGAATCGACTCCCGAAATTTTTATTTCGCGGACACCTGAGTCGGGGAAGTCGGACTTCGGACAGGCAGCAAACATCCACATGATATTAATGCGGACTGCGCTCCGCCAAAATTTGAGTACCAGGTACCAGAAGTGTTCGCACTTTCCACCATACAATATCAAGAGTCCGTTTTCGGTTGATTGGTCCAGCTCGCATATTATTTTGAGAAGAAGAAGGATTATCGAGCACTGGAATCATTATTTTATTAGTCTGAGCTTTCGGGCACCTGCAGGAGCCCATTGTCAGAGATGGGAAAAACAGCAGCAAATGAGGTGGCTAGTTCTGGCGTGTACACAAAATAGCTAAAATTTGAACGGGTATAAAATCAATAATTGTGTAGTTTGGTTGTCGACTCACTACTGCGGACTTCATCAGTATGTGCTAGTGGGGGAGTCGACAGCCAAACCACACAATTATTGATTTTTACCCGTTCAAATTTTAGCTGTTTTGTGCACAGGCCAGAACTAGCCACCGCATTTGTTGCTGTTTTTCCCATCTCTGAAGATGGACTCCTGCAGGTGCCCGAAAGGTCTGACTAATAAAATAATGATTCCAGTGTTCGATACTCCTTCTTCTTCTTCTCAAAATATACACGTTCCCAGAATGCGAACATTCGCCTCAATTCGCATATTATTCACCGGCACAACTTGGACCTTCTATCTTCGGTCTCCGTTGCTGGAAAAGAGACTGGGTGGAACTTTCCAGATCCGCTGCCGTCAATCGTCACGCATGGAGGAGTACTGTCCGAGACATTATTGAGGCCGGCTGGATCAGGCACGATCGCAGCAGTAACAAGTTAAAGTAAGTAGGTGCGGGAAGTTGAAGAAATCTGCCGAAGATCTCGTTGTCATTTTAGGACCCCAGTAGTTAATGCACAGAGCTGAACTGTCAGCCGTATAACAATCCACTCCGGTCGGGCCATGCTTTTGCTATATCCTTGACAAGTTGGATTGGTGGATGCAACGGTGAAATTGTTGCAATTCATCGAATGGATTTCTCGAAAACACCTACCAGCTCTATTTCTTTGATTGTGTGCTACAATCTAGCGAAAGCGGTTTTGCCCTTTATACCGTCTATTGTGATTTTACTAAGGCCTTTGATCGGGACAATCATAGCCTCCTCCTTCTGAAACTAACCTCTTTAGGTATAGGTAGCAAGCCTCTGAACTTAAC